AATAAATAGACCCAGAAATCCCATTGTGGGGTATAGATCCAAATTGAAGGAAATAATGATACATCTCTTTTTATCGAGATAAGGTGAAAGTCAAGTGTAAGTGAAAAGTAAAAAAATCAAGCTATATGACTCTACTATAAATATTTGATGATTAAAAAAAAAAAAGATACAGCTGGGCTCCATTGGCTCACGCCTATAATCCTAGCTACTCAGGAGGCTGAAATCTGAGGTTCGTGGTTCAAAGCCAGCCCGGTCAGGAAAGTCTGTGAGACTCTTATCTCAATAAACCACTCAGAAAACCCGAAGTGGCACAGTGGCTCAAGTTGTAGAGTGCTAGGCTTGAGCTGAAGAGCTGAGGGACAGCAGTCAGGCTCAGAGTTCAAGCTCCATGACCAACAAAATAAAAAAGATACAAAATTCAATAGTGTATTTTATAGGACATCAATATCTGCTCTTCCTTAGTTGCAAGACATAGATGATAATCTGTATCTTGAAGAATGGATTAGTCAACAAATTTTATGTGTGCCAATTATTTTGAAGTCATTTAATTCCTTTTGGTTTAGACAGTACTAGGGCTTGAACTCAGGGACTTACTAGACAGGTGGTCTTCCAATTGAGCCACATCTAGCCAGCAGATTTTAAAATATTCAAATGTACTAATTACCTTATTTAGTGTCATGTTTCCTGAGACAAAAGACATAGGACTTCAGCTGCAGACTGATCACTTTTGTCCAGAAAAACTTTGACAAACTGCAAATTTTTCATAGCCCAAAGTTTAATGTATCCTACTTAGTGAAGTTTTAGTACCCTTCCTAATACAACATAGTTATTACTATCACAACCTTTCCTAACTGTAAAGGGATGTTACAGATCCACTTGTCTCTGCCCCCTATCCTGGGTCCTCTTTTACTGCCATATTTCCTGGCCATACAAAAGTCTTCACATTCAGTTAGCGTATTCATAAAAATCCAGGGCAGTTTCACCATAGTTCCAGCTACAACTTGAAGAATCAACTAGTATAGTGTCATGTAACAAAGAATGGTTATTGCAGCTACAAATTCATCAGATCAGATACATAGAAGTACATAGGAGTTCACTTTCACTAATGGGAGACCAGCTAGCTGCTCAAGAGAGCTGACAGAGGATTGGGGGTGCAATTCAGTGGTAGACTGCATATATAGCGTGTGTGAGCCCAGATTTTGATCCCTAGTACTTCCAAGAGAAAAAGGAAGGAAGAAAAGAAGGAAGGAAAGACAGAGGGAGGGACAGAGGGCGGGAGGAAGGAAGGAAGGAAGGAAGGAAGGAAGGAAGGAAGGAAGGAAGGAAGGAAGGAAGGAAGGAAGGAAGGGAGGGAGGGAAGGAGGGAGAGAGGGAGGGAGGGATGGAGGGAGGGAAGGAGGGAGGGAAGGAGGGAGGGAAGGAGGGAGGAAAGGAAGGAGGGAGGAAGGAGGGAGGAAGAGAGAGAGAGAATGTTATAGATCTTTTCCCTCTCTTCCACTTAGGTTGTTACAATAAGGAAATATTTTTAAGGTCTTGCTGAAAATATCACCCAAGATAATCAATTGTGCTTTTGTTGAAAAATTGTGTCCATCCTATTGTGTTCATTTTCCATCTTTTCCTTTCTCCAAACTCTTGTTTCCTAGTGGTATACATCACACTAAGGTATCACTAGGAAAGCTTTTGCCCCTGATCCAATTTCTAGTCTTGACCTAAGCAACCACCCAAACTATGAATTTTAAATAAAATGAGCTCTAGAGTAAAGGATAGGACTTTAACAATAGTAGCTCAGTGCATACTTCAAAAATAGCAAACAGCTGGATGTTGGTGGCTCACACCTGTAATCCTAGCTACTCAGGAGGCTAAGATCTGAGGACCATAGTTCAAAGCCAGCCCCAGCAGGAAAGTCCATGAGACTCTTATTTCCAATTAACCACCACCAGAAAACCGGAAGTGGCGCGGTGGCTCAAGTAGTAGAGCGCTTGCCTTAAGCTGAAGAGCAGCCCAGAGTTCAAGCCCCATGACTGACAAAAAAAAAGCAAATATAAAAAATGGTGTTTCTATAATATGGAGAATAATAGCATAAATAATCAAGCCTGATGAATATAAAAGTCCTTCCACAAAATATGCTGTCTGGGAAGATATGCTGAGAATGGAAGTCTCCTTGTAATGTACCATAATTGCATTTAACAGAGATTTACAATCTAGAGGTTCCTCAAGATGATCAAAAAAGTAGAAGCCATAAAGGAGAAGCTTCCCCTGTATTATTTACTTATAAAGGAAAAACTTTGAATAAAGCTAAATGAGTAAGACATCCTCCAGGCATTCCTACAGCAATAGCAACAGCAGCTCTTTGAGTTGACCAAATCCTCTAAACATTAAAAAATCTTCAGTGATCATTTGGATTCTTATCTAGATTGACCTTAGGGAGAGAACATGCTGAGCAGCAATCTCTAAGAATCTGATCTATTTGATAATTCTATTTCTTACAGTAACATAAATTATCATTCTGGTTTTTATCTTCCCAATGGTGTCCCACTCTACTGGATGACTTGCTTATGCTCCCTGCAAGCCTCAGAAGGAGGCTCTATGCCTAAGATGCTTATATCTCCTCTTCCACTTTTTTGGATGTTAATAGTCAACAGGGCCAGAGAATGACACTTTGCCCACTCTCACTGAAGTACTAAATTACATTTGTGTGAGCCTTTCAGGATCAAGCTGCCCCTGCAATAGGATTTCCTTTCCTTCCCTTCCCTTCCCTCCCCTCCCCTCTCCCTCTTGCCACTCTCCTCAAACACACACATGTCCAAGCCTGAACACAGGCCTAACAAGGCCCCAGAGGAGAAGTGAATCATGGATCTATCACTCTGAGAAGGAAATATCCTCCTGCTTCTACCATGCCCTCAGGCAGGGCAGTCTGGAGTCCCCACAAAGACTCAGGCAGCTTTTGGCTAAAGGTCAGTTAAGGCCACAGTCCCAACAGAGAAAACCTTCATTCAGGACAGGGATACAACGTAAAATTAATGTAAAAAGCTAACATTGAAAATAGTCACAATCACTATTTAAAAATGATTCCCAAGGGAGCTTAGCCAAACCAAAGTGAGCCATACACATAAAATTTACCAGAACTATATCAATTTGCCTAACTCACACTTTGAATCTTTTGAGAAAAAGGCAAATAAAATATGATTTAATAAAACTGTTTCCTGAGCTTTTAAACATTATACTTCGGGTAGCAATCCATCAGCAATGGACATTCAACATTATAAAATTACCTTTGAAGGTTGGGGGCACAGCTCCAGTGTTAATAGCATCTACCTAGCAAACACAAGTCAGGAGTTTAGACCACAGTGTCTGTTGTAAGGTGAATCTCCTAGAAGCCACATTTTAAATATAGAATATTGGAGTCTTTATTATACAGTTAACAGGCCACAGGCTGCCTGTTGTTACAAAGGCCTGCAGCATGCAAATATACATAACACAGCTAAGAAACATGCTAAAGAGGAAAGAAATAAAAACAATCCCAACAAGCCAATTCAGCTTCACTGGAGAGCTGGATTGGGACACTATGATGACTGGAGACGAGCCAGGAGACAGGACACAGGACACAATCAGGGCGACACACATGGCATGGTGTAATGGTGGTTAGATTGGTCTGGGCCTAAATAGGTCAGCGCAGTGGGGCAGATCCACAGGAAATTCTCATTCCCAGGCACTGGACTGACAGATTCAGTAACCTATCAGCCAAGTGCCTGCCCCTGCCTCCAGGGATCTGAGCAAATGCATTACCTGGGAGGCAGGTGATGAGCAGGGGGTTTTCTTCCCCCAGCATGAAGACAAGATGCCAGACTTTACAATCCACCATGTGGCCAATATGGTGCTGGCCAGACCTGACCTTCACTTCATATCAACAAAAGCCTTTCCTCTTAACTTATTTGGATAGAAATAGACCCTAAACTGTTAGATTGAGAACATAACCAAAATAGCAGGATACCATCTATGTTCTTAATATAATCTCTAGAAAGAGAACACTACCTCCTCCTTGTCTTAAAAGTCACAACCACAGTACTATGACTCTGTCCTTCCCACAATGATCGACAGTGACAACCTCCCTTGTGAAAATATTGGAATAGCAGTGTGTAATTTGGTCCTGTAGGCTACACAGACCAATACAATTGCATTCCTGTCTCAGTACATTTCCAAAATCCAGGTTATTCTTATCAATCTAAATTTTTAAAAAAATAGAGCAAGATTATCCAAAGAAAAATTAGTAGTAGTAGTAGTAGTAGCAGTGGTAGTAGTAGTAGTAGTAGCAGCAGCAACAACAAATTATGATGGGAACATGCATATCAGAGTAAACTGAGGGTGTGTCCAAAGGGATTGAGGCAAGGAGAGGCTTTTAAAGAAAAAATGAGAAGGATTAAATCTGGTATCTTGAAATTATAATCTATGGCCACAATGAAAGTAACATCAATTTGAGGTTGAACAGACAGTTACTGGGCAGATGTTTGTGTCTAAATACTTGTATAATATTTCAGTGGCTTCTCTGCATACTTGTGGGTCAGGCATAAGAACCATTCTTTTATAACCTCTCAGCTGCATTTACTTTCTTGTTAATTTTGACACAAGCAACATCTTTCTGATTCTGACAGCTTTCTCCTTTATGTTCCAGGCAGACCAACCTCCTTGCCAGAGCTGGATTCCCACCATGAAGCCTTTCTTCCACCACTCCTCCTCCATCACTGGAGGCCCTTTTGATCTTTTGTATATTAATCTCAAATGAGCTTACTTCAATGTTCCCTCCTCTGTAAAACTTCCCCTGTGCACTGTTGTATACAATAGTTTCTGCTGCCACTTAGCATGAATGGATTGCATCTGCTTGACCTGTGAGTGACCGAAATCTCCTGAAGTCTCCCAATTGTTACTTTTGTTCCCACATATCTTATCTTTCCAATCAGATAATAATCCCAAAGACAAAGACTGTTTTTGTAATGTTGCCTTAAACACAAAACTTTATTGATAAAATACATGTCTTAGATTAACAAGTGTAAACAATACAAAATTATAGCTTATTTATTATTATAATTATGATTATACATAGACAAAGGTGATTATGACCACCAGCTTAAATAATGAATACTAATACTTCAATCTAAATAGCAAGATGAAATTGACAACAGTTTTCTTTCTACAAGCTCTAATACTCATTTGACATCCTTAAATGATCCAGTCTCAATAGAACATCAATCACTGTTGATCATGTGAAATTCATTGTTCCAAAATGGCAGCTTAAAGGATCTCTTTGCCATATAAGCGCATTGAAAACCAAAAAATTTATAAAATATACTGCTTCTATGTGCAAACTAAAAAAAAATCACATAAATGTCATTTGGGACAGATCACAAATTAGAGTTTGGTTAGTACTTTCAGGACTTTGACTTTCACCACCAAATCATTGTGATTTGCTAATGCTTTTATTTTCTTAACACATACTCCAGATTCTTTAAATAAGAAAAACAGTGAACTTCTGCTGAATTCTTTCCTGGATGATGCAAGGCCTTCACTTTTTATGTTGTCATTTATATTTTCAAAAAGGGTAAGGATATTAAGCAGAATCTCTCTATCCCATTCTTTATTAAAAAGTGAAATCAATTCTGATGGTACTTTACAACTGACTAGCTCTCTTGTCATGGCTGGATTTTCAGTGAAATTTATAATTAACTTCATAATTTGTATCTTGGTGAAGTGATTTCCCAGGAATAACAAAGCAAAAAAGTCTGGAAAAGAATAAGAAAGCAAATGTTGATAATGATTGGTCACAGTCATGTTGGTTAACAGTCTTAATCCAGCCATCTGTACAGCTGAGTCCAAGCGACAAATCATGGTATCATCACATACTTGACTGATGTATGTCTTAATCTTGCCCTGATTTTCAGCATTCACACTCAAGTTATTAAGGGCATTGTATGTCTTTTCCCTAATAATGGGGTCTTTCGTTTTTATCAATTTAGCGATAATTGGGACACCACCCAACTCACGTATGGCATTTTGGTTAAATGAATATGCTGCATTGTTACCCAGCGTGACCAAGGCGACTTCTTGAATAAAAGGATCATTTGTTCTTTCCAGGATATTAAGGACCTTTTGAAGGTCAGGAGCACTCAGAATATCATCAATTTTATAGGGAAAATTAAATTTTCCTTTACGGACAGGCCATGATGTAGCTTGAGTCTTGGTGCTCTTGCTACGGGCCTTCCCCTTGGACTTGCCACGTCCCCTACTCCCATTCCTAGCTCCATTCCTGGTGGGGTGGCAGCTTCCACCCCTGCCTCCTGGGCAGGGCAAACTTGGTGCAAGGGTTCTGTTTCCAGAGATTGTACCAACTCTGTTACCTCTGCCTCCCTTCACACTTGCCTGTTCCTTCAGGGTGCTAAAAAGGGCCTTGGCCTTAGCCTCTAGGCCACCTCCACTCTGAGGTTCTACGTGGGCATCCTTCTTTACACCTGGACTGCTCTTGAATCCTGACCCCACCTGGGCCTTGGCTTTTGAGTCATCCTGAGGTTTGGCTCTGCCCCCCACTGCAACATTAATTTTAGCTCCCTTCTCAGTCTCCATTTTTGTTGTGTCACTAGATTTGTCGTCATCCACGTCGTCCTCATCATTCTCGTTGTAGTCATCATCATCCCAGATTTTCTCATCCTCATCTTTTTTCCATGTCAATCTATACACACAGTAGCAAGCACCAGCCCCAATAACCATGCCAGCTGCCACGCAGCCAGCTTCCCGGGTGCGTCCCATGGGATAGCTTCAGTGAATCCCTTAACCTAGGCACAGAGCCAGCTTGCTCAGGCTCAGCACAGGGGAGTTCAGGAGGCAGAGTCTTCAGGTGCCACAGGCAGACACAGTTGCAAGAACAAATGCAGTAAGACCTGGGGGGAGAAAATGAGATTTCTGGCACTGGACTTCTGCTTTGATGCCTTTGCATGCAGACAGATTGAAATACTTGCCCACAAATTGTATAGAGGATATTGTCAAAGACTGGGGGGGGGGGGGGTTGTGTCCAGATCCTTGATTCCTTTCCTCCACAGGGAAGCTAATTTTGGAAATTTTCTCTCTCATCCAGCCTCTCCAACATCACGTTCCACCAACCCACCCAAGGCTGCTAACTTTGAAGTCTTTTATAAGTTCCCTATGACCAATACATACCCTTCCCGATGTCCTGGGGCAGTGGCACTCTCACATATACCAGCAGAGACCCACGCAGCTTCTCCCTTTTCTTTCTAGCCTCCAAAGGACCTGAAGAAAAGGGAATGAGGAAGAGGTTGTTCAGAGATCAGAGAACTGATGGATCTCACCCAGAAAAGGCCACAAATTCATCCTCTAAACCCTCTGGCCCTTGTCCCTTATTGCAGTGTTTCTCACCTGTTACCCTCCCCACCTCACAGAGATGTGATTTGTGAAGTTCATTATCTCCTTATCCCTCCTTGTTCACTTATCCTCTTCTCCTACTCCCCACTCAACTCCCTGTTAATCACTTTCTCCAAAGATGAGGTCACATCTTTTTCCTTGAAACAAAATGGATATTGGTGAAAGTAGTATCTTGAAACAAGATAGATTCAAAATGCATAAAGATCTCACACTTTCCCTTGCTTCCTCTATGCCCACTATCTTAAAGGTACCAGGACAACCTCTCTCCTCTCCACCAAGAATTTTATCAGTTTCCTTCCTCTCTCATCTCAGTTTCAGCCTTCACCGAACCTGAAGACTGACAAACTCAGTGTACTTGGTAGATGGGCCAATACCAACCACACTGTACCCTCTTGATTTGGAGTAGCATCTTCCCCACTGCACCCAGAGTTTTCTGCCATTTTTCCACCCCAACCACTTCTTTCCCTGTCTTGAATCTGCAGAGCACTTTCTTTTGCAAGCTCCATTACCCCAGGTGTAGAGAAGAGGAAAAGAGGTGTATGTAGAGGAAATACACAGGCCCACAAGAGTTGACAGTCACCATCACCCTTCATCCTAGGGGTCTCTAAACAGTGCCATCCCACTCACACTGACCTACTTGGTTCTGGATAATTTCCCCCTCTCTGATCTTGTCTTCAGGAACACTATCCACACAAAGGTGACACAGCAGAGAGGAATGGCTTAGCTGACACTGAACTCTTTGGAAAACCCCTCTGGCAGCTTATCCAAATTGGGAGTTCTGGTTGTCAGAATATTTCACTTTTTCATCTCTCATCCTACCCCATCTCTCTGGATCCACTGACACCAGCCCTCCTGCAGTACTGCACCCCCCCCATACACACTGCACCCTTATCCCTAAGGTTCAGCCATTTTCCCAGAAAAAACCACACCCCTTAGGATCCACACCAGAAAGGAGAGGAGAGGACAGTCAAGCACATATAGAAAACCCAAGGAGTGAAAGAAAATCAAACGTCCTTTTCTGTACTCCCCAACAGAATCCATCCCCAATGATAACCATTTTTCTTTTAAGAAAGGTCACATCCCTTTCCCTGCTCCCTCCCCCAAATTAATGGCAAGAAGACTGCTGGGAGAGTCAATAAAGGATCAGAGTTATGTCATATTTCTGAGATTGCCACCACAATCTCAGTAGCACACTGACCTGTAGGAATTCAGGGTAGATTATTTCTTTGCTATGACAGCACGAGCTCCCTTCTGAAAGAAACGCGGGATGACAGAAAATCTCAGAGCTTTAAGATTCTGGGTTAGTAGCTGGATCACCCCACAAGACACCAATTCTAGTACCTTCCCTTTCTTGAGTCAAAGATCTGGCATGCAAAGATCCGCCCCCCTCCTTGTCGGGGTTTCCCCTGGAATCCAGCCTTCCAATGCCCACCTTTTTTTGTTTGTTTGTTTGTTTGTTCTAGAAAAGGCCAGGGACAGCGCAAGGGTGTGGAAAAAGCAGTTAGTGTCGCTAGAGTCCCAGGCAGCTCCCATTCACACGCAAACCTGCTGGGGGCGGAGGGGGGGGGGGATGCAGTGTCAGGTTCTTCTTCCTCCGCCTCCGCCTCCTCTTCTTCTTCCCCCTCCTTTTCTTCCTCCTCGGGCTGCTGCTGCTTCCCTGGCAGCAGGCCTGACCGCTAGCTCTCTGAGCGGTAATACAGGGAGGGCAACTAGACCAAGCCAAGACCAGGAATTAGAAGGATTTTTGCGTAAGTCGGATCCGGCTCACGTGATTACCACGTCACCCATGAGATCAAGACCCCAATTGCCACTCCCACAGCAGTGTCACTGGGGCTGACACTCCCCCTTCCTTCTCTGCCCATCTGATCCTGCCACCCATTTTCCTTTTTGCCAATTCCAGGGGCCCAAGAAGGAGCTTCTCCTTGTAGTCGGAATTTGCTTTTCTTTAATGAACACTCTCACACCCACTGGTTTTTGGCTCCTCTTCTTCCAGAGACAATGTTGTGTCTTTTACTCCCATCTAACTGCTTTTCCCTTCACCGTCCCCACCCTCTTCAACTATAAAAGCTCCTTGTTTCCTATATCCATCCCTATACCATATGGGGAGCAGGATTTCAGAAGAGGAGATAAATTGTGGGATTATCTTTCCTAATCTTTTTTTCTCCATATTTTGAAATCGGTAATACTTTGTTTTTGCACCAAAGAGATAAAATCATATTTTTATTTAAGTGGAGAATTTAAGGGGGAAGAAGAAAACCAATGGGTCTCATTAACTTCATCATATGTACGTGTTACATTAAAAAAAATGTTTCTACTGGTTACAGCCAGTAGAAATATAACTAACTCATTTTAAAATTGAAAACTAGAATTTGTTATACGATCTATGAATCTATGCACAAAGAAATGGTCAGTTGTCCAAACAGCCATATTACACAAAATATTTATTTACTTTATCTACTTTTGGCTCGACTTACAATTCAATAAAATACAAACAATAAAATCCAGCCTTAATTTGATTAAACAAAACTTGTATTGAAGTAACCAGAGTCCTGGTTGACTGCTGTGTGAATATCAAGATTTGATAACTGCTGTGAACACCTGCTCCTAACGTAGATTCCAGTCTACTAAGGCTGAGGCAGCTGAGGGCCAGGGAGGAAGAGCTACTCTAATGCTCTCAACTCTGTCACCAAGTGGGAATGTGCTGCCCTCACATCCCTCCCACATTCCAGAGCTTCTTATTCCTTATTTCCACACATCTGTTTGTTGCTCAATCAAAAAATATATGCATGGTTGACCTTCATTAATGTGACCCACCTGAGTACATTCTTTGGGCCCTAAACAGATCTTCCCCCATATTCCCCCAAAGGTAATTCTGAAATGCATAGGAATTTTGTTCCTCTTTGCCTTTCTCTCCTTATTCATGTTGTTCTTAACACTGTATCACTGCTTGACCTGAGAAATGCAGCTTGCTGGGCCTCTCATCTCTGGCCTCCTTCAGACCAGAGAACCCAGGACTAACCTTGTTGCACAATCACTGCCTGCCAGTCCATATTGACCATGGTGTGGATATATGCCCAGTCAAATGGATGCCTAGTCTCAAGAACTAAACCTCACTAAAAACCACTGATCACATTTAAACTAGAGTAGGCATACTTACCTGGTCAGCACTGTGGACCAGCAGAATTTGTGTTAAAGTGGTTTAAATACATATGTCCATTTTAGCAGAGAAAGGAACTATAGCTCCTGTCACATTCTGACAGATTCATAGATAAATTGAAAAAAAAACCTTAAAAGTTAAAACTTGCCTATAAATGCATATACATCATCCTCAGTAATTCTCTCTCCCCCACCCCTCCTTAATCTCACTACATAACCCCTGTTCAGCAGAGCTGGAAACATGTCTGAAGTGGTAGAGCACTAGCCAAGCAAGTAGACACTCATCAAAGTCCAGTACCAGAAAATACACATATATACAACTTTATTTCTGCCATATAAACCATTTTGTTTTGAATTTCACTGTTCTGGTAATCTTACCACTCCTAATTACTTAAATGTGTGTGCCTTATATATTTTCTACTTTATTTTCTATCTTTCTGTGTCTGTTTTTGATATAAATCTTAAAAATAACATTTTTAATATATTATACATATATGGGCAGTTCTGAGATTTCAACTCAGGGCTTCATTGCTTGCTAGTCAGGCTCTCTAATATTGAGCCACATTTCCAGCCCTTTTGTATCTGGTTATTCTTTTCTTTTAAATTTTATTTTCTTGTAAAGAGAGGTTACAGTTATATCAGTAAGGTAATGAGTTCATTTCTTTTTGGATATTTTTACCCCCTCCTTTGCTTTTCTCTCACTATCCCTTCCCTCCCCTACCTTCCCCACTTTTCCCCCAATAAAGTTGTAAAGTTCATTTCCAACATACTGTCTTGTGGATATCATTGTTGCAATGAGTTATCCTGTGTCCTTGTTCCAGCATTTTGTTATTCCCCTTCCTTTTCCCAAATTAGATAAATGTATATACAAGATGCAAGGTACCAAAATCAAATACAGTGACAACAGAGATATATAGAAGAACTAACATATGAAAGAAACTAAGAAAAAAATCACATAGTACATTAAAAACAACAACTCTGGGCCTGGGCGCTGTCCCTGAACTCTTCAGCTCAAGGCCACTAGAGCCACTGCGCCACTTCCGGTTTTCAGGTGGTTAATTGGAGATAAAACTCTCAAGGACTTTCCTGCCTGGGCTGGCTTTGAACCATGATCCTCATATCTCAGTCTCCTGAGTAGTTAGGATTACAGGCGTGAGCCACTGGCAACCAGCCTCTCTGGTTATCCTTTAAGATAGTGTCGATTTTCCTGCACAGGCATGTTCCTGGACCACTATTTGCCTATTTAAGGCTTTCCATTGTTGCAGGTTGATTGTCACATACCAACACACACAACTATCAGTAAGAAGGGGTCTCCAGAACTTTTCTGTCTGCTTGGGCTTACCTAAAAATACAGTACTCCCTATTTCAGCCTCCCAATAACTAAGAGTACAAGCATAAGTCATTAGTGTCCACTTAAGTCTTTAATAGGGGAATTTGATCACCTATACTTTTGTGATTACTTCTGTTTTATCTTATTCCTGCTTTCTTATTTTTGATTTTCTCTTATTCCTCATTGTCTAATGCACCTTTTGGGGTGTTTCTGACATGTTCTTCCCCTTAGTCACTTGGGAATTTGACAATGTGGTGTGATTCAACTACTACCTATAAGTAATTTTTATAAAATATGCATATACAAATATGCATTAATTTAACCACTGTAATTGTTCATTACCTCAAGTAAGATACAAACTTTAATGTGCTATGCTTTTAATCATATCCTAATTCTACTTCCAGATGTGCTTATATCATCTTTGATTTCAATTGTATTACTATATTATCATAATCTGTCACTATAATTTTAGGAATTCCTGGGATTTGAACTCAAGGCCTTGCACTTAATAGGCAGGAACTCTTCTGCTGCACCATGCCTCAAGCCTTTGGTAAGTTTTTTTAAAAAATATCTTTGGGCTGGAAAAGTGGCTCAGTGGTAGAGTGCTTGCCTTGCAGGCATGAGGCCCTTGGTTCGATTCCTCAGCACCACATAAGCAGAAAAAGCCAGAAGTGGCACTGTGGCTCAAGTGGTAGAGCACTAGCCTTGAGCTGAAGAGCTCAGAGACAACACTCAGGCCCAGAGTTCAGACCCCATGACCAACAAAAAAATCAGTCAATCAATTAATCAATAAATATCTTTAAGTAGTTATCCGAAGGGGTTCAATTCAATATGTCAGACTGAGTACAATGCCACTCTTTCTATCATTCTCTCCATCTCATCAATCCTCTCAAGTTACCTGAAGCACAACCACAGACCTGAGCTTAAATCTGCTTATTTTAGATTTCTCATAGGTGGGGTTACAGGCATACTCCATTATGCTGGTCTTCTATTAAAATGGAGTTTTATGGCTTTTTTTTTTTTTGGTCCAAGACCAAACTCAAACTTGGTACCTGACGCTTTCAACTCATTGACTAGAGTTCTACCATCTGAGCGATGCCTCCAAGCCCCCCCCCTTTTTTTTAAATCTTGTGGATTTTTATGCCTGGACTGGTTTTGAACTGTAATACTCCCTATCTCAGCCACCAGCTTTTGGTTGAGAATGTGTATACCCAGGCTGACCTCAAACTGCAATCCTTGACCTCAAACTGCAATCCTTTGGATCTCAGCCTTCCAAGTTCCAATAGGTCCTGGCTTAAAAAGTCTATCTTTACATTTGCATTAAAGTTCACAGAATATTCTTATTACACATCATAGACAAGTTATGTGCAGAATTATATGTTCACAATCTTTTTAAAATTTAGGGAGCATTTACTACTAAGTCCCCCAAAGATCCAATTCCAACTTCATATATGTGCAATAGGTTCTTCAGCCCTTCTGATGAAGTTTTTTAACCAATCATAGTTTTTAGTTTTCAAGAACTCATTTTGGTTGCCCGGTTTCTCTTTTCAAAAACAGGCTGTTCTTGGTTTATGTGTATGGTATCCTTTCAGGTTTCTCTGAGAACAAAAATTTAAATATCTTAAAATTCTCTTATATTTTCTATAAACCCTGAATAGTGATGTACTTTACTTAATCTTTTATGCTATTAAATTTAATCTAATGTCTTGAAGTTCTTTGGTTGTTTTATTTTAATCACATTTATAATTAAGGTTCTTTTAGTATTGATGGCTTAGTGGTCTTCCCCAACAATTGTTAAATTCATTGTTAC